GGGAGCAACTACTTGTAGTTAAGTTAATTTGTTATCTCTATAGCCATATTCCTGTGTGATTAATTACTTGATTTTGTTTACTTTTTTTAGAAAATAAATAACCCGCAGAAAGATTTCTGCGGATTGGCAAGTTGGCCAAGTATCATACATTTCAGTTATTTTCTTTGATCCCACGTTTGTTATCGGGGTCCTTCATGGATTCCGTTACAATACTTGGGCCTACCTACAACAGGCTACCCGTACCTGGCTACAGTCATGTACATATATGTAGGCAGGTAGGCCTGTGCCCCTATATACCTTGAATTACGATCAAAGAGCTGCTTTCACTTCCATGGACAATTTGGTGCAAAAGTGACGCCATTATCAGACACGACTGACACCTGATGGTTGGGAAACTTCAATTTTACAACTAAGAAAATGAATAACACTATGCGGTTCTCCACACCGTCGACCATGTGTTCCTTTATGCCATCGCCACTGCCAGCTCCGAAGTCGAGTGTGGTATACACGGTAAGCCTTTGACCCGCGCAAATTGTACGCATGATCAGTAGCCTTGTCAACAAGAATAGCTTCAAAATGGCCGACGCCGGACCCGTTGACTGCGAGTGGAAACAGCGGCCGAAATCCCATTTTAAAACGAAAATCCCCCATATTGAAGTTGTAGCAGATGCTTTATTTTCAAGAAACGTCGTGAAAGAACGTCTAGGTAACATTTAAAAAGGAAAATATATTATGCAACTTCAGAAATAATGCGTAACCGGAGTCATATGGGCCTTTTCGCTCTGCTTAGCCTTAGGCCTAGGCCCCTATGTCGTGTTCTTGTTATGGCATGCCAGCTGGACTCGCCCATTAGTAGTATTAGGCCTACTTCCTTGTCAAAAGTGGCCTTTGCCAAATGTATGTGTTAGTGGGAAGTAATTTGTATCCATGTTATTGTGTACCGGCAAGCAGTAAGCTTGTCGTAAACATTCTTGAAAGTTGAATTTTTATTTTTTTTTCTTTGTTTTGTTTTTGTTTTTTGTTTCAGCAATCCATCCTTTTTAACCTCTCAAAGAACTCACTATGTTAACCGCCAAAATGTTACATTTCACCTTTTTTTCCGGCTTGCATTTGTAAATGCATGGTACTGAAAGCTGAGATATACATTTTATGGTGTTTACAGGTTCAAATCAAGCTATGCAAAAAAACACAAAAAAGAGTGCTTCAGCTAGTCGACATCTTCCAAGCCCACCTGTAGCCTCAAAGAGGTCTTCTGAACAGACTAGGAATGTCTGCCAAACTGAATCAAGAGATCAACAACAGGCTCTTGCTGTTTCATCTTCCACAACCATGAGACCAGGATCTACCCTCTCCATCTATTCACCTCTACCTGGCATTGGACAGTCAGGACATGAAACAGAAATAACAGCAGGTATTCTGGACTTGGGATTAAATGAAAGAGATTTTGCAAGAAATAGTCCATTTTCAGATTCAGGAGTAACACATCCTACTAGATCTCCTGAAAGTGACAGACATACATGTACTTCTGGTGAGGCAGTGTTGCCTGATGCACAAATGAAGCGTTCATTATCGCAGTCCTCTGGAATGGCTAACACAAACAAGATATCACGAAGAGAGATGAGAAGCCAACAATTTGCTAGAAGAAGACAATCACAAAAATCACTGGCTCATGAACCTTGTGAAGGAGAAGACAGATGCTTAATTGCTGTTAAATTACCAGAGGGGGAAAGATTACAGAGGTACTTTCGTCCAAGTGATTCTATCGCTGATATTGTCTCATATGCTGAGCATACAACAAGGCGTGTTTTTTCTGACTGTAACGTCTTCACAAGTGATGTCCCCAAAAGAATGGTCAGCAATTTATCTTCAACAATAAGTAAAGTTGGTTTGGGACACAGGACGTTGCTATACCTGGAAGAAAAAGATGAGTGAAAAATACAGCCAGCTTATTTCTCTATTTTTCATGCTAAAAATAATATGACTGACCACCTAAAAGTTTTATAATGCCTTGGAAATGCTCGCTTTTAATGGCCATAAGTTTCACAATTACAAAATGCATTGCGTTTGGTGTTGTGGTACCTAATTAGAAGCATTTTAAGTCCCTCTACTGTACAGCTATGAAGACAGAAACATAAAAAAAATTTATCCTAAAAGGTATGTGCTTTTGTTTGGAGTCCTTGATCAGTTCCTTAAACATTTCATCATTTCCAGATTTACTGTAAAATGAAAGTTGAGGTTTCTCCAGTGAAATTCCATGTCAGACTTCTTGGTATTCAGTAACGTTTCCTTTTAATTCATTGAGAATATATGCACATTGTCACAAAAGTGTAACTCCTTTATTATCAGTACCCCTTCCAGTTTCGAAATCCTGCATATAACTAGGGTGACAAAAGAACTTTTATGACTTGACACGAATTAAATTAAAGTCAGTGCATCATCACTGGACAAAAGTCACCAAAACAAAAATGGTGCTTTCTTCATTCAATTGAAATTAATTTGATGAATTTGCTTGCTTTGCTATTTCCTGTGCCTTTCTCAGTTTAAATTCTTCTCTTGCCAAATAAAATCTCGGAGAAGTGCAGAGGATGTGGACTTTAAGTTTTCACGATTAAAATGAAACCAAATTGTGTTGGAAAATAAATATATACATGTATTACCTTTGTGTAATCTGTGTTCCTGCTTATTTTAATTACTTTTTTTCACAGTGCAATTTGAAAACTGCTTATCAAATTTATATAAATTTAGTTTCATTTTTTCGGCATAAAATTGATCATTTGCCTACCCACTTTAAAAAGCAAGTGTGAAGAAATGTAAAACTTTGCAAAATTATTTCATTACTTTTGAAAGTTATCTCTGAATTTGAAGAGGATTTGTTTTGAAAAGAGATTTCCTACACAGATTTTTAGCCTACAAACGCGTTCACAGCTCCTTATCAACTATTGCCCCAGTAAATGATACTTTTTATTTCTTCGAACAATTTGACACCGGAGACACAACAAACAACAGCTAAGTGTGCCAGATTAATTACCGTGAACTAATTAGCGCCCTCTGGCTGCGGGTAGTTAAATGTCGGGCGGTACACCTGTTGCAAGGTTAACACAGTTTTAGACCTAAAGTAACGAACTCGCATAAATGTGTATAAATACTATCCATATAAAATAGGCCCCATCTGTTTTCAACATTAGAATAGATGACAAGGGCCACAAGATTATGCCGGTCAAGGGAAAATATTTTACCATTTTTATGAAGATTTTTCAACAGAATTCAAAATTATAAAGAAATCGGAATGTCATTTTTCTAGTCTAGTCTGAACCGGATCTGCTTTTTACAGCAATGTTTGCGAACGATTGCGAAGTCCATGGTTCATTGCGTATCCCTAGGCTACGTCATAACAGTGAGCGACCTCGTTGCTAGGGCCAACCCTCGGCACGCGCCACGCGATGAAACTATCAACACGATCAACAACTTGACACGTCCTAACTCAAGAACGTTGTCGAAGCAACTTAGTTTACGCTCTCCCTGTGTTTCCTTCGAACATTTTGCTAATCTTGATAGCTCCTCTAAGTGTAAGAAATGGCACAGGCAGACCCAATGAAATGGAATCTTCCAGGATGGCGAATTGAGCAAAAATATTCTCCCGGGGTTTTGATTGGGAATTGGTCCGAGGATAGGTATAAGGTGAGTACACGCGGTACTGTGTGGGCCTACATCCATGAACATGTAGGCCTATGCACAACTTAATTTAAACAGTAGGCTAACTGGCGAGTCGTGGTCCCATCGCGGTAGTCAACTTCAAGTCTAAGACAAGAGCGACTAGAGTAAGGGATGTTGAATCAGGTCCAGCTGAACCTACTAACTATAGGGCCTAGTATAGGCCTACAACATTTCCGCAGCAGGGCCTAGGCCTACTATGGGTTAACCCCACTATTGGAGTGTGGCACGGACTCTCACTCCCGATCCAGTGAGAGTCCGTGCCACACTAGTGGGGCTAACTATGGGTAGGTATGTGTGGCAATCACTTATGAAAATAAATAAACCTAGTGTGGGCTGTGGAAACAAATGAACTGAACTGTTGCAGTAACACTGATAACACAGTAATAGTTAATGTCATGACTAACTGTACTGCTTGCATATTTAATCTAGGCTGACCATTTTGCACTTAACCCTAAATTTTATATGAATTTTTGTGTCTTTGTAATGGTGTTTGACTCAGTTCTGACTTTTTAAAGAAACTTTAAAAATCAACATCAGCTTTGCCCCACAAGTTTGTAAAATTCTGTTCATTGCCATAAATAGACCCCCTGTGTATGACGTCACAGTAGGGGGTGTTTCTTTCTTCCTTTAGAATAGGTCTGTGCATTTATTGTAATTAATTACAATAAAGAATAGCCTCTGACTCCGCCTTACTACAAGGGTTCTATTAGTTACCAACACCAGTTTTTTGTGACTTGTTTTTCATTGCAGTTCCAAAGGGCACCTTTAAAGTCTGGATCAACACATAGAACTGACTTTGTGAAGTATCCCCAGTACAAGCCAGATGTTATGACACGAAGAAATGCAATGATGAAAAATGATGTAGGTATATTACTTATCACATGCAATCTTAATTTACTTGCCCACTCTTAATCCAGCTCTTCCTTTCTTGAGATTTTATTCCAAGCTTTCCAAACATTTCATAATTTCATTTCCCAGGCATAGTCTATGCTTATTTTCTGTTTTCCATTTTCAGGGTCTAGACAACAAACACCTATTTGCCCATCATAATAATGACTTCTCCAGCAATCTCATCTCATGGTATGATGAGCAGTTTAACAAACGAGAGAGATCAGGTAGAGATGTATTACCAGAGCAGCGATATTGGGACTCAAACAAACTTGCCTGGGAACCTGAGAAGTCTGATCATCCAATCAGAGGTGGGTGGTGTTAGGTGTGATTGCCAATCTGTCAGATCGCTCAATTTTTGCACTTTCAATCGTATTGCTCAATTTCCTGATAATCCCAACATCAGCCAATAGGCATTTCTTTCTATTAATTTATGGTTGTGGAAGATTTTTCTACAAAGGAAGTAACTTGAGTCTGAGGTTTCATACAGGATCGATTGCACAACATGATCATGCTGATCGACTGATCTAGCACAACAGTGCTCATACTGAATTGTTCACACAATTCATACTATAGCTGACTATTCAAATTTCTATCAAATCTATCAGTTTTGATGGAAATGTTCCAGTGAGATTGATTCTTGTATTACCAACAATATGGACATAATACCATTCAAAAGGTAAGATAGTCACGTAGTTGTATCAATGCAGAGGTGTCTGTCCTTGCCATACCTAGTGGCCATGTTTCAGTTTAGATGAAATATAACAGGGTAAAGTCTTACGTTGATAGATAAGAGGTAGTGGAATTTCCATAGGGTTTAATTTTAATAATAAAAATATCTTAATGGCATCTGCTTAAATCACTTTCATGAAACTGCACAAAAGTTGACTAGGACCTCAGTTTAAGCTATTCTGCTGCCCTCTGGAAATCACGCACTGGACGAATATCTCCAGTTTTTAACCTTGCTGCTGCTAAAGAAATGAAACACTGAACATATAGAAATTGAATTGAGTTCTTTCATTAATTACATGTACTGTGCTTAACCTTTTTCTGATGTAGATGGTCCAGTCACAAACTTTGGCCTCAAAGAAAAGTTGACTGAAAAGTGGAAGGTTGAACAAGCTCTTGCTGGACTTGGAGAATACCATACAACCTACGGCCAGTCCTATGTCACTCTGCCTTCTAGTGCACTCATCAGGAACCACTATGCACCACCAAGGGCTCTCTCCACACGACTTCATCCTGTGAATCTCATCAATAAGGATCTGAACCTGCGAAGCATTAATGTTATACAGACGCCACAAGAGTTACAGTTACCAACGAGGACAGAACCTGCTACTAGGAGTCAACAAGGACCCACTCAAGTCTCGGTGTAAGGCTACAAAATATAAATATTATTTATCAACCATGTAAGTTATTTCATGGGGAAGGATTATATCCAAATAATTCCTTGGCTGTAGAATCGCTGAATCCATGAGGGGTACATTGTGAGATAAGGGAACAAATTGCATTGTTTTCTATTTGTTGGGAGGGAATGGTTTAAAGCCTTAAATTTGGAAAATATTGTTGAATACGTTTTTTTTCATAATGGAAGGGAAGATTTGCTGGCATTGCTTGTTTTGAGTCGAGTATGAAGATTCACTGAAATGTTTGAATCAGTATTACTCATTTTTGACTGATTACTTTTTTTAAGTTGCATTATGCATTCACTGCCTTTTGTCCATCATGAAGTGATGTGTGTGGTACAAAATGTGCTGCTCTCATTGCAGTAAACCTCCATATGATAGCCTCCATGCATTGAGTGACTGATTTCACATCATACAACAGTAATTCTGGACAGGCTTTTTAACCTGTTCACTAACTGAAATCACATGGAGTATGGCCCCCCATGTCCGCATGCATTATCAGCACAGTGTACATGTACAACTGCCACATGTAGTACAGCCCACCCAAGGCTTGTGCATGTATTGCATAAGCTGGGCCCACAGGTGGCCCAGGTGGACTCCCTGACCGTGCTACTTTACGGAGGGAGGAAAGGAAAGATAACGTCCAACCTGGGCTAGGGCAACAGGTACTGCCTGGGTATGCATTGTGTTCAGATGCAAATTTTTGTAAACTCAGTGTAAGCAAGATCTGGAATGCACACTGTTCCTTCCATGTAGCTGGAACAATGGGAATTGTGTCAAATGAATTCAGCACATTTTACTTTAAGTAGATAATCCAGTCTTTAATTTCTTCCTGGTGAAAACTATGTGGCCTTAATGTCATTCTTATTAGTCCAAATATTCAAATATAATCTTATCAACCAAATATTAGCAGTTTTATGTAAGGGACTGATGATTTGAAAGTTCCTAGTGTAGTCATGGAAACTAATCAATGCTATTTCAACATTTTAACCGGTATAAAAGTATATTAAGCATGGTATTGTTTTAGGGAAAAAAAAGTACACGTACATTGTGATAAATGAACGGGAATTTCCAACCATGATTTCAAAACTTCCATGTTCTCTTTCATAAGGATGAGAATATTTTACAGTTGATGTAACTTTTCAATGGATTTTAGGATTATTGAAAAAATATTGGTTTTTACCGACACTGGGTCTGTGGAAAAAATTCACAAAAATCATGTTTTTAAATTTTGATGAAATACGAACTATCAGCATTATTGAGGCTTACATTTATTTTTTGAAAAGTCATAAAATATTTTGGCTGGAATTAATTCTGTATCTTCAGTTGAAGAACAGATTTTTAACTTCAGCCTTGTAGTAGCTGAACCTATTTCAAAAATGTATTTTATTGCTTTTTGAATTGTATGACAGTAATAAATTAATATTGTGTTCAAGACACAGAAAAGTCAGACAGTTATTGGAGGCTCTGTACTTTACTTGGGTAAGTTATAATAAAGCTCAATTAAATTATCCTGTTGAATAAATTGAACAAGCATAGACTATTAGATTCAATCACAGGGAGGTCATGTCCAACTGGCTTCAGTCTGATGGCCTTATAGTACCGTGAATTACTGTTGCATATGACAGGGTCAGGGTCTACTTCAAGGCTAGCTCAGCTAGTTGACCTGCAGGCTGAAAAAAGACGTTAAACTTTCTTGGTTTTCCTCATATTTGATCACAGATTAATTGTTGGAAACCTTTATGAATGTCAAGACTTTTATTGCGATCGTATACAATGACATTTTCTCATATGAATGAACGATTTTTCATAAAACTGTTTCTCACTCTCAGTATCAAGAAATGCAGCTCCAAAATGAGTATGTGTAATTTGATTGTAGAGTTTCCCAACTGCATTTTGTTTGTTAAACTTCTTTTTGGACTTTTCAAATGGTGATGTGCTTTCAATGCTATTATTGCCAATTCTACAGTGTATGCATTTGTGTGGCTTTACCTGCTAGTGCAAAATTAACAGCACAGGCCTTGCAGTATTCTTCTACAGCACTCGCATCAGCAAATGTAAATTTTGTAAATACACAAACTTGTAAATAAATACAGCTTGGAAGAAAGAAAATTTAAAGCACTGTCTGCATGAAGCAAGAGGACTTTATTTCTCTATCAGGATTTGTGTCTGTTGTGCTTTTGACAGTTGTACATGTAAACTGTACTACATATATACATATGTGCGTGTTGACTCCAAGAACTATTTCTACTATGGGACCTTGACTTTCTCCAGACTAATTTCTTGGAAACATTACATGCACATACATGTAAAAACACCTATCCCATCTATGAAAGTTATAAAAGTTCCGCAAAGTGTTTTGTTACGTTAGCTCACAACTAGGCCATGCATGACCACTTTCTTCAGGGCCAACTCGGTGTAGACAAAATGTCTACAGCATCAATAGAATCCTAAAAAGGTTAATAGTCTAGTGCAATGTCTATGAAAAGGTTTCTTGCTCCAGTTAGTTTGAAATTTGCAGGTGTACATGTCTGGTCCATTTACAAACCTGTACATGTACTTCGTGCCCTGTTCTATTAAGTACAAACATGTATGAACTGTAAAACCCTCTGCGGAGAAAACTGGCACCAAACACACTGTCTGTAAATCTCCAAGCAGATTCAAAGAATGAATGCAAGTCACGTAACCAGCTTTACACTGTAGTGAAATATATATTTCCCTGGAGCGAAATCCTTTTAACTGATTTCTTTCCCAAGGAATCAAAAAGATAAATTCAGGCTGAAATAAGCTGAAAGCAAAGCAATGAAAGTTATAAATATCAATCTCCCAAAACTATGCATACAAGTGTGTAAATGGCAAGTTCTAAGTCTGCCTCGACCCAAAGGAAATTAAATCCAAAAATTTAAATTAATTCCATAAAAATACTTGACATTCAGGCTATTAATACAATATCTTGATACAATTTAAATATAATGACATTTTAATTCACCTACATTTTATTTTAAGTTTGTTAAAATATATAAAGAAATTGTATGTAGCAGGATTTGGTACAGGTTTTATCTAAGCTCCAGTCCATTCTTTGTTCATCTTTGATCATGTCACCATCTAAAATCAGTCAATGTGAATTAATTTAACAGGCAGGATTTGTGCCTGTTAGGAAATCTGTTAATTCCTGTATTGCCATGTGATGCTTCATCATGTCACTACACTTCCAAAACAGCACCTTCTTAACACCTTCTTAGAAAAATAGCGATTTGTAGTGATCTGGGGCAAGTACCCCCAGTGTCAAATCAGTCAACACAGCAGTCAAGCCCCATATATGATAGCCAGCTCCACGGAAGACCGGTAAGACATATGGTCCAATCTCTTTAGTGGAAGCAGAAGTAGACTTGGAAGGATCAAAGCGGGTGTAGCCATGATTTTGAGGATCACAGAGATGAGAGATGGGTAATGTGAACACCAACTCCACCTGCATGTAGGCCCCCCCCCAAAAAAAGGAATCAGGCAAAATGACAAGTAAAACAAGAATGTGGTGTTGCTCGATGAAAACCAATGAATCACAGGAATGTTTGCTTTTTTTTACCCTTGATTTGATTCAGAAATAAAGTGAATTTTGTTTTATTTTACATTGTTAAATATCTGGTAATAAATTGCCAATTTTTGCAAAAAATGAAGACCCTCATCAATTCTTCATTCATATCTGTCCTACATATATACTTTAAGGGTGTATTTTTTCTAATAGAATGGTCCGGCAGTTTGTTATATTTCATTCCCTCTAAATTTAACACAAATGCAGATTAGAATACTCTGAAAAACAAACAGATGGAAAATCAAATGTTTTTATGGACCCCTCATACCTCCTTTTTATCATACTGAAGTTCTGTCAAGTCAATGTCACCAATATAAGCAACAATCGCTGTAACTGATGTCTTTCCAGACTGCACAAAAGACAAAGTTAAAGGGTAATCTTACAAATGAACCTTGAACCTGAAAAATTGGACAGACTTTAGCAGGCCAACACTGTAGTGCACTTTCATAATACATCCGAGTGGAAAATTTTGCACAATTTTAAAAATTGGATTCACAAGTTAGAAATGGCAGGCAAACCTGCCGACACTTTAGGGAAATCAAACATTCTGAGTATAAAGGAGGTGTTTCCATGTAAAAGTTTACAACTTTTAATGATCTTACCAACAGGCACCACACTGCACTTCAATTTTTTCTGCATAATAATGAAATGGTCTTCTAACATCTTTCAATTACAAAATGCTTGATTGCTTTTACTTAGGCCCTTAAACTTAGGATACCTACACGATCAGGAACTGACGGAACCAACTGTCCCCATATTTCTACTGATTCTGCACAAATTCCAAGTTCTTCTTTCAATTCTCTGAACATTGTTTGTGTGGCATCTACATCATTATCATCCTTGATTCCACCGGGAAAGCTTCAAGGGAAAATGCAAGAAAAATCTGTATCAGCAAAAAGTTCTTTGAATCATGAGCAACTGATGTTTTTTCATCAGTGACCCTAGATCATTCCTTGACAGAGTGAAAAGGACTTACTCAACCTCAGTGTAATAAATGGTACACACTGTATGCATTTTCTGGAAGCAGTTTGCAAATAAACACCTGCAAACTGCTAACTGAAGGGACCAGAAAAGAAGAATGCAGTATCACAATGAAGAAATGGATAATATAGATTTCTATTAAAAAGCCTAATGCCTTCAATAAATTCTCCAAGGGGTTATCAACTGTCTTCAATTTCAAAAGTTTCACAAGAAAATTTTCTAATCTTCAAAATCACCATTTAGGATCATTTCCTGAACTGCCCACAACCGCTGTTCGTGAAATTCCTTCATTTCATTCCCTATAAACTCATTTGATTTACCTGACTTCACCTTTGTGCCTGCTTACAAACTGCGACCGCAGAGTGTATAAGATTGAAGGAATCTCGTTGACTTTGCACAGTGGCACACAAACTCCTGCATATCGTGTTGGAATCCTCTTGAATAAAATTCTAGTTGTTGAAGGCTTCATGGTTGAAATTCGCTTCATTACTCTGACCTTATTTTCCTCAGAAAGTACCATTAAATCCAGACTGGATGCAACACCTTTATCAGATTTAAGAGATCTGATTTTGGAAACGTCTCTGGTCTGGCTTCCATTTTTTGCCCAAAGACACATTGTTGAATAGGTTTTTGAAATCTCCTTCCAACACGGGGAGAGTTGTAGAGGAAATTTCACAAATAGAGACATTGCTGAATTCGGGCCAACAGCTGAGTCCACCTGATCAAAGGATTTAGGGTTGCGCTACAGTTGAGGTGGCCTGATTGAAATTTGTGCCTCCCTGGCGTTGGATGTTGAGAGAAATTTTGTGACGTGTTGGCGCAGGTCTTCGTACTTACTCCATGCTAAAGTCAAAATTTTTTGTTCTTTCTTGTGGCTGAAAAATAACCGCGGGACTACACTTCTTCCTTCGAAACCAAATACTTACCAATCCATTGAATCTATTCGCACCGTGACAAAGACGTCTGGCAAACCTGTAATGTACAGCACGCACACACATGGTGTACGTGTATGTACTACTGCAAAATGTCATTTCTAGGTCATGGCCAACCGTAGACGATACATTCAAGTTCATTTACATAAAGCAAAAACTGGGTCATAGCTGTTGGTGGCATACAGTGATCACCGGTGCTAAATGGTTCTTGAGAAGTTGAGGGGAGACCAGTTTTCATGCCACGTAAGAGCTTCCCCCATTGAAATATAGGACCTTATTTCCCTAGCCCTCTGAAAAAATCCTCTACATCCACGATTAAAGCCTTTATTCAAGTTGGATTTCACCAGCATTCTGTGTAAAATAAATTCGCGTAGTGCAGGGGAGGGTCGTGCATAATAACAACCGGATTGCAGAGGGCGCTATATTAGCCCTACATTAGCTTTGAAGTAGTACCGACTGCCAAAAGTTTCCAAAATGATTTTATACAACCTCATGACTGAGATAAATCTTCAGGATTTACTTTCACAGATCGTTCAAACATCATCCCTCAAGACTAAATGCAGTATCACAGTGTTATGATGTTACAATGTTAAATAGTCTGTGTTCAACTATCGTTCAAGCGGACGGATAAATCACAAAAGTGCTCCGTCCTCCTAGTGCAACGCTTTTGAAGATATTAACAATGCCGTACTTGTGTTGTGTTTACAAGTTATCTTTGGAACAGATTGTGATATTTGTTAGTGTAACTCCTCCAATTTGCAAAAGTTGTAATCTCTCTCATATTTAAAGCAGTCGCATAGTTTGCTCCTTTTGAAATTATCATAATTCGGAATTAATTTTGTCATTTGAATCCACTAATAGGCCCAATCAGGTGACAAAAAGAGCATTTTTCTTTAAGCTTAATGTGACTGACGCCTGAGTCACACACCGTTTCAAAGGCGCTTTATTCTATACCACTTCATTTACATCTCACACACCAACATTAAATAAAAACTGAATGCTTCAAATTATTATGCAGCTTTTGCTGGATAAAACGACATGTACTTGCAAGACTATATCTTTGTGTCTGTATATTAACGAAACTTTGGAAACCTGGCTCGACAAAAGTCCAAACTGGACTTAGTTCATTCCTGCAATCTCAAGAGTTTAAAGTTTTCCCGTTGATTTGAATGTTAAAAGGCATCTAAATGGATCTGATCACACAGAAACACTTTATGTTTCAGGCGCAGCTTTAGAATATCGCCAATCAACTAGAAATGACAGCTGAATAGTCTTCAGGTTTTCCCAAATCATTACCCACTGATGATTTTTTTTGCTGACATGATTAACATATATTAACATGCTTTAATAATAAATTATTTTTTCTTGCTAAACCTGGACCTATCTTTTATATATTAATGAAGTTATCCCAAATGGGTTATCTGTTGTACAAGTATATAACGATAAATGCATTGTTATTAAACAAAATGAACTTGGTTCAATCTCTTTGCACCTTTATTGTGATCCCAACAAACAATACTGATAGGGAATAAAATACTAACTGGGTTTTCTTTTGCACAGTTGATTCAGTGTGGGGAATCACACGATGGTAAAGTCTTGATGCCTGTAACAGCAACCAGGGGTCTGTGGATACCCCATTATATGGGAAATTGATGGCCAGTTTCTTTTAAACCATATCCCTTAAGAGGTTAGTTTGTAGGCTATAAAGACTGTAATAGAGTTAGATTATTGTAGGCTTTTTACACAGGAAAGGCTATGTATAACTCTGAACAGGTGCCTCTAACTGAAACCATTACTTGGGGAGTATCATTACATGTGCACGTACGTGCCAAGTGCTTTTGTTAATTAGTCTCAGTATCATTGCATAATGACATAACAGTGTGCTTTCATTACTTACACAGCATATGAAACTGACCTTTTTTAATTTACTAATGATCTCATTTAAGCAGAAAAAATTTATCTGGCAGCCCAACAACATAAACACAAGACAGAAATAACAATAAGCTGGAATTCCTTTGAAAATGTAAGAATCTTCCTCCACGTAAGAAATAAGCCCTTCCAGGGAGGTAACTTTCCTTGGCCGACAGTACGTGTATATACAGACCTGCCAACCTCTCGTACTCCTTCCTGAGCAATACCACACAATAGATTAAAAGGTATTTCAATGAGTGCTCGATTCATTTACAATTCTAATTTATTATGTGGTGATGCCTGTCCTCAGGAAGGAGTACGACAGGTTGGCAGGTATGTATATAGCCTAATAAAACAGCACCATTATTAAATATATTATAATGCTGACACTGACAGTTAAATTTGACCAAGGTCAACTTCCATGGTCAATGTTTGGTCACCATCATCAAGGTTGGTTTATTATATTGTTCAGTCAAGATGTTGACATTAAGGGTTCTAACATGGAAAATTTATTGATCATCGTTTACTCAGGTCGTCAACAGTATTACATGTTTCACTCATTCACAGTCTTACTCTCATTAGTTTTTTAAATATCCAACAGCGATTGGTGCCTCCAAGCCAACCTTCACAAAGTCATCAAGTTTGTGTTTTTCACTGAAACCCTGCTGAACTCTCCCATTTACAAGAATGACAAGTGGACTAGTGCTAATGATGAAGACTTTACTGTAACCAATCAAATTCTACAGTTTCTACTGAGCAAAAGTGAGACTTCTTGAACAGTGTTTCACAGAACTCTGAATTGCTTACAGAATTGGTAACAAGTTCCACATAGTATATTTGGCAGCATTAAGGTAAAGCACTGTCACATCACCATTTTGATTTATGCTTGCAGACTGATATTAATATTGCACTGAATCCCAACTAAGTAAACTACCATCATCAGAACTTGACTTGATTTAATCCGAGGTGAGACACAACCTTAGTGACTGTGACACCTACACTGCTTCGTCTTGTTACCATGGTATTGATGGTGTTCCAATGATGAGATTTAGGGTCATAACGCTCCACACTATTCAGACTACTGCTGCCATCATTGCCCCCAACAACATAGAGTTGTCCATCCATGGCAACGGCATCATGGGTACTCCTGTTGAACGGTAATATAAGTTAAGATCATCAAGTTATCATCTGATCAAAACAGATCTGCATCCAAACCAGCTAGTTAATCATTCTACGTTTTTATCAAATGAACTCTCCGCAGCCATATTGGAATAGCCCAAGTTTTGCTTGGATAGTTGGCTTGCAACAAGCTGTTTGCTGTCACCAAAGGAGAGTTCAGGAATAATGCATTAATACCATTATTTGAAACCAAAAATCATTAATTGCTACCCCTACGTACCTCCTTATGCTCATAGAAGGCACAGGCTCCCATAAATTGATATCTGGGTTGAATCGCTCAGCGCTGCTCAGACATGCTGCTCCATCATTCCCACCAACAACGTACAAGACACCTTCAACCACCGCTGCTGCCGTAGAGCTCCTCCTACTGATCATGTGAGGCATCTGAGCCCAGGAATTTGTCTGTGGATCATACCTCTCTACACTGGATAGATGACATGATCCATCATAGCCTCCAAGTGCATAAAGACAACCATCTATTGGAATGATACATGTAATTACAGGAACACTGACAGGTTAAAAGAAGCAACAGACAAGGCAACCCACCCACAGGATTTCTGAATCCAAGTGGAAGCAAAGAGAACCAGTTCATAGTTCATAATTTCCAAAGCAGGAGATACTGTACAAGTCCCTGGCATTCACATAGACCCATTTATTATAGTAATGGGCAAAGCACAAAATTGCAGGAGAGTAAGTGATGATGTACATTCATTTAATATATGGTTTTCTACATTTACACATTTTATCATTTTCATGATAAGTGCCATCACAGCAATCATACTCACCCATGACAGCAACTTTCACATATCGTCTTCTGGTTGCCATGGCAGCCACAGATGTCCATGTATTAGTCAGTGGATCATAGCGTTCAACACTATTTAGACAAGATGCACCATCGTACCCACCGATGGCATACAAGAGACCATTCAGAGAAGCAACTGCTAGACAACTACGCTTAGTACCCATTGGTGTGATTTCCTTCCATGTGTTTGTTTGTGGGTTATAGCTCTCCACTAAGGCTAGGTCATTGGAACCATCATATCTAGGAGACGAGTACAGATATACAAATAGTCAATCCTCTACACGAACAAGCTATGAAAGAATAAAAGTCTTCATTACTATAAAGAGGTGACTACATGTCAAAAAAGAAAATTTGTGTGTACATTATAGGCAGAGCAATTGGGGTATTAGTCAAAAGAATTCCTTCCTAGGCACTACAAATATCACAAAACATCAGGACTATTCCATAATGTCTCACAGTGGGCCTAATCACTCTGGTTGAGTAGATAGGAATTTTGCAAATTGTTTACAAACAGAAACTCTGCAATGCTGTACCATTTGCCATAATACTCACCCTCCTACAGCGTATACAAGCCTGCCAACGGTAGCCACACCAAGTCTGGCTCGCCTGCTACTCATAGGAGCCAATGGATGCCATGTGTCACTTCGGGGATCGTAACATTCACACTCGCTATGGATTGCAAATAGACTACCTCCACCTGAAACCAATTAGCCAAGAAATGAACTATGAACACCAGGTAAAGGGGAATTTTGACAGTAATTACATGAACCTTTCGTTATGCATGGACAAACACCTAATCTGTACAAAGGGTCAACATACAAAATAAAAGAAACAAAATAAAGGAAAATTTCTTGAAAAGGAATAATGGAACTGAGACTTTAGTTGAACTTGCAAAAAAAGAACTGGGAGAGAAATGGTGTAATGACACAGTATCTTTAACTTTTATTTACGATTCTTACATACCAACACAAAATAGCATTGGAACACAGGCTGAATTATGTCTCTCCTGGGTACGAGGTGATTGCATCACGGCTCGTTGCTCAGGTAGTAAGTGATATTTCAAGGCTTCAATCAGGAGATCCTTGCATTCTGGACTTGAACGAATGATAGGTTCAGTCTCTACAGTATTGACCAAGAAATCGCGTGTCAGAAGAGGAAGACGGACACGCTCCATCAACTACAAGATAAAAATGACACCAAGTGTATTATTGACATCCACCAACTTTTCATACACAAAACAACATCGAACACTTTCTCTAATTTCTTTGTTTCCTATCACTATCAATTTTATATGTCCTGATGCAAGGCAGGGCATTACCTTAGCAACGTATCTTTGTCTTGTTGGCATGTCTGCTCTCACCCATAGCACCACAGCATTGAAGACATCTTCTTCTGATGTGATGTTCAACTGCTCACTGGATATGAGCTGCATAACCTATAACCAAAAAAGGCATGAAACTTGGGAATAAAAAGCTGCACTCCACGCATTAACTTGAACTAGAAACGAGTCATTAAGAAGCTGATTCTCTACAAATAACCTAATTAGATGACCTCTTGACCTTTTACACAATGCACCTTCTACCACATTTACCTCATCAGCAGGTAGATGTAGGTATTCCTCAGTATTGACAACATGGTTGAAGTTCTGCAATGAATAGAGATGAGATGATTGCTCCAAGTCGTAGCATCCATGCATATCAGCAAACCTCCTGATGCCAAGACAATTGGATGGATCCAGCTGACCAAGGAGGAACTTGCAGCAGGCATCGCGGACACTATGGAGTTGTAAAAGACTAGCTGCTGGCAGGAGAGACTACAGAAAGATGAGATTTGAAAAGAAGATTAGAGCACTTGTTTGAAAAAGCAAGCAAGCCATTATTACACTTGTCCTATAAAACTACTAAGAATCAATTTATCAGAGGTTAACATAAAATAATTTAGCATAAAGGAAGACCTCTTAAGGCTCAAAGATTAGCCATGAACAGCCAAAATGTCTTTCACAGAATACTTTGACATGGAGAAGTTCACAACTTTGGGTAAAACCTAATCCAAGCAGATACCTGCACATTCTTTTCACCAATGTTAATTTCTGCTGTGTATGCAAACTGGACTAGTTGCTCCACTGCCTGAGCTTCTATGTCACGAAGGTGAACCTCTGACTGACGAGATTCACTCATATCACCTGTAAAAAGCAGACAAACTATCTACATCACTCTTTATTTATTACAAAGGAAGTATGTGATATGGTAAGTTAAAAGTTGCATGGAAGGAAAGCATCCCAAACTGACAGCAGTGTTTACATTAAAAAATGTAGGTGACTGGGCACAAGCCGTCTATTTACCAGCAGCGGATTGGGGAGGGGGGAACATGCCCCCAGCAAAGACCCCAGACCCCACACCGTAAGTGCATTTTACCATTGCTGTTTTAAATCACACACATCCTTTTGGAAAATCCTGGACCCGCCCCTGTGAACTCTGCAGTATTTACAATTTTGAAGAAAAATAACTCACTTGTAAACATTGCATGGAAGTAAGCACTACATGATGCCAATACAAGTTTGTGTGCCATGATTGTTTTATCTCCAACTTTCAGGACGATGTCACAAAGTGTGGCTTGTTGGCGCATACGGTTCATTGCTACAAATGCATCGTTGGCATGACGGGAAGCTCTGTGAGTGAAGAACTCTCCAAGCTTGGCATTCTGGGATATACAACCAACAGGACTGATCACCGGTGAAGCAGGGTGCCGGGATAAGGAGCGGTGATGACTGACTTGGACTGACAGTTCCGACTTCACCTCCATTCTGAGTAGTGTTTAATCCTACCCTGACAATTTGTGCTTGTTTAACCCGGATTTCTCCTTCAAAGTTTATGGTATCAGTACTTCAATTGATGTGAAGTTTATTCCGATCAGAATCTTTTGTTATATTTCAACATGAAATGGTAGCTTGCAATATGTCACTTCATGTCTGTACACATCCATTGATGAAGCATCACTCACGAGACAATCAAGTCATGATCCGCCACAATTTCTGCAGGCAAAAGGAAAGAAAATAAGATTTTATGACAATGCAAAATTGTATACAAATTGAATTACAACGTTTTACAAACTCAGTTACAGATTTAAGCTCATTAAGTCCAAGTACATGTATCAATTGATCAAACTGAACATGTCACAGCCCAACAGCACTTTAAAAGTACTAGCACAATTTTGTTTGTAGATCTCAAACATTTTAAGTTTCCTCCTCCATTTGGCTACCCTAGACCAGTAGACAGAAGGGAAGGTGTTTGTCACACCCTTCCAGGTAAAACCTACCTCCATGGTTAAACAAACTGTAAAGCTCAGTAACAAATGCATTCTGTAAGTACATGTAGGCTGACCCAGTCTGTACAGCTAAAGACAACATCAAACAAGGGGGCGTGAGGGGTTTTACAAGATCCTTTAGAGACCTAAATCCAATTTGTACACAAAGAAAGACTGGTTCTTGCAAACATGATCAGGCAAACACAAACACCCCACAAGCACTTACCACAACAATCACAGTAAAATTTTGTCCTTGTCTAGTTTTCAGCTCAGGGAGAAGTTTTTAAGGCAAATACGTGACTTCCTGCAATTTTAAACTGCTTGAATTCCTCAAGTTCACTCTTGCATATCATGAAAGAGCTTTAGCGTAGGCAAAAATAGCCCTCATCCTTCCCCTAAAGGCAGAAAGTTACAACAATGCACAACCTTGACTTCCAATCTGTAAACTCCATGGATCATGCAACTTTGACTTCAAACCACTTTGGTAAATTCTTTTGAATCTATTTGGCCCAATAACACACAGTGGGTGGCTGCAGGTATTTTGTCAACAAACAGCAAGGTTTCAAAATGACAGGATGTATGGCCTGCTGACTCAAACAAGGCAACATACTTTTTCTTACATAACTATTTCATTCGTTGATGATTTTGTTGATGACACCCATCTGTTGTCTATATCATACATGTAGGAATCTTCTTGAAAAACAAATTGAGTGCAGATACAGATATTGGGCCACAATGGAATCCAACTTCATTTTTCATACACCAGCAACTGAATAAAGAACAAAAACAGAGAAAACTACACGTAATACAATAACAGTTAAAAAAGTTTCCTGCTTCCACCCCCTCCCCCAATAAGATGCTTCCTGTTTCCCTGACCTATCCTACATGTACTTTGACTGGCTGCAAAGCTTGTTTGAAAGGGGATTCTGGACCCCAAAAAAATGAAACTGGAAGTAAGAAAAAAGTGTCTATTGGCTGCAGTTTGAAAGATGAAAAAAGGTTCAGTAGACTTCTTTATTTAGACAGCTAGTACCCTCTAAAAATCTATCTTGCTATTCATATTTAATCAGTATTTAAGTGCCCCCAAAGGAAAACAAAACTGCTCCATCAAATTAGTACCCCAACAGAACCTAAAAAAGGCTAAACACAAAGCACCTCAAAAGGCTCAATGTATGAAGCAAGCACATAATATCACCACTACATACTTCTCCCTGAAAAATGCTCCATCCAATAATGTCCAACGGAGAGTACATAAGCCAACATCAGTCATCATTTATTAATAACTTCACATTTCTAAATTTACCTGGACTGTGTGTGAGTGACTATGAATAATATCCAGAATGAATCACTCATATCGGTATGGTATGCAGGGATACAGTGTATGAACGTACATGTGCACTAACATGTACCATGTACATGTACATAATAGTATCTATTGTACATGTACTGTGTAGGCTTCTCAGTGCCCTTTATTTCACTCACTGTGAGGTTTATCTACTGACCTACATGTCTATATAAGTACATTGCTTATTTCCATTGCCACAGTACTGTACAATGTATTTCATGATCATCTCCATGCACTTCTGGAATTTTTTCAGGCCTTTCTAATGTTTGGAATGTTGGGAATTATTTTGAATTACAGTATATTTGTGAAGATTTTCTTTTCTTGTCAAAATGATGAAATTTCAACTCAATTTTTACCATCACCTGTGATCAGTGATCACATCTTTTATGAAATACATATTCTTTTATTGAACGCTACAAATGCAAAGTTCCAATACATGCTTTAAAAATATGTCCATTGAAGTACATGTATTAAAATTATATTACATTGATATGAAAAAAGAATGGCAATTTTAATACATGTTTGTGCATGAATAAATAACAAATATGCAATATGAAATTCTTTAGCAACAAGCATGATTGTTTATTTCTGATTTTGAGAAACTTACTTGATGATTTATTCAGTATCAAATTTGAGGTTTAGCTTGACCACAGAAAACAGACCAAAGACGTCCTTTGGATGGATGTGGACAAAATTAGGTCCTCATTTGGTATTGTTGGTGACGATGGGTCAGACCCACATTTATATCCTGATCTTGCACCCTCACTAGACAATAAAAACACATGTATCAAATGGACCACATGCCCACATGATAAGACCAGTCAATGATTCATGAGAAGGACAGAAGCATGTGGTAACAACACAAGGAAGGAAGTAAGCCTATTATTGTTGCTTATCTTCAGGTCCACAGGTTCTACAAATAATCCTTGCATTACACCAAGACAAAGATAATTAACAAAAACTGATGCCATGTCAACAAAGAAGAAGAAAGAAGTCTCCACAAGCTAGAATTAATGTCTTCAATACACAATCACCTGAGACTTCCAATTTTACATGTAACTCATCATTAGTACATGTGTAAGCACGGATGCTCTGACATTAAACATTTAAAGTTACTGCCAGGAAAAAGTGCCTGTATTTTTTATGGTGGGTTGTAGGTGATTGGAGCACTATCAACATTGTTACCAGGATTTCTGGTTGACAAAACAAGCTTATTAAGTAAGCAGCAATCATCATCAGGGCATATTTGAATACAATTGCAGTGCCGGTTCTGGTCCTTCTGACAACTGGGACCTCAGATGGAAAACAAAGACAAGTTGTACTGACTGGTAGGAATGCCTTTGACAAATTACTCAATTCTCGCTGTTAGTACACACTGTATTAACAAGGAAAAAAAACAGCTCAATCAACGATTACAGCACAGGACATACAGGTGCATGTATAAAACCCCAGAAACAAACAAATACATAAGAATAGCTAATATTCAAAGGTGAACATCAAGCATAAAAAAAAATACACAAAGAGGCACAAATAAAAATTATTAATTTTAGAAATACTAAAATTAAAACAGCATCAACTGTCCATGTTGAGCTCGCATCAATATCAATTTTGAGCTAGAATTAAAGGTTTTGCACACTTCTTTGTCCCACAAGGACTGTTTAAGCACGAGGACAGATACAAACTGAATAAAATAAGGGGAAGTAACTTAATACTCACTGAGGCCCTTGTTCTTCTCACCTCGGCACAAGGGCTACTGAAATTACAATTGAAGAATTATCAAATGGCTAGCCTACTTTAAGAAAGAGATCATGAATGGATTTCACAAAACCCGCCAAATCTTGACAAAGAACGAGCTCCAGCCCGTCCTTTGTCGAGGAAGCTATACAGTGATGGAATTGAACAAACCTTGGATTAAGAAAACATTCATGGCCGGTCCAGCTGTATGCAGATTGAAGAACATGCACCTGGCGTCAAGCCGGCGGACAGATGCTCAGACATGTCAGGAGTCTACATGGGCCGGGAGTGGTCCCTGGTCCATGCTAAGACCGGCCTGATTGATTGTTTATCATTTCCGCATGACTGAATTCACGTGATAAACCCTCAAAAATAACAACTGTACTCCAACAATCCTTGGCATTCGATGAACACACCTGTACACTATAGAAATGGTCATGGATTTGTTGAATTTGGATCAAAGTGGGGTGAAATTGCGGAATTTATACCGGGCTGGTCACATCATCAGACTAGCGCATGCGGCCGCCTGTTTGCATTGCACAAATGGACAAGTGTATTACATTTGAGGAGTTTTTTTTATTGTAAAGCTTTCACGTTGTGCATAACTTTGTGTATTTTTCTTCTTTTGAGAGAAAATTACAAATAATTTGAAATTACAAAGGAATCAGTTATCACTGACCATCTGTTTTTCTTGTCAATATAATTAACTCAAAATAAATATGTGAATGTCCTCCCTGTAAAAATATGGTACAACCCTGTGACCCCGCCTACTGTCTAACCTAAATATGGCGGATCATATGAAGAAGCAACTCTCGAGCGACGATTTTGATGCTCAAAAACGTACGTATCCCTTCCTAAAATAACAAAGCTTGGGTCATATTTCAAGACTCTGTGCATTAGAGCACATAAGCAATAAACTTATTTCAATTTCTATGAAGCCGTAAGCCGCCCATGAAGTTGAATATTTAAGTGCATTAGGCCCAACCCATTACCATTCCATTCACGCCCCATTCATAGCCATACGTTGGGACAGTCCCAACCGTCTGACTGTAGAGCTGCAGCAGTGCGTAGTTGGGCTGGACCAACTAACTAGTAATATTGTTGACCAATTTCTTGGTGTAACTATAGAATGCAGGGCCATGCACGAATACACCCCCTAGAATCACCAGCTACAATGTCGCATCGGATTGGAGTGACTCCGGAAAGCTTCAAAGAAGTCGAATTCAGTCCAAATCGAGTCTACAAATTACAATGTCATGGATGTCCACAGAGTTCTTTTTGAGAATGAAGCAACATGAAATGAATGGAGATTGTCGAAAAAACCAAAGTCCAAACCGAGTGGCCCAAAATGTCAACCTTGTCCAAAAGTTTAGGCCTAGGCCCATGGCACTTCATCTAGGCCCCTATGACATGGTGCTGTAAATTTACTGATTACACTGTTATCAGTAAATTGTAAACAATATGACTGGCACATGCTGGGCATATGCAAACTGGACCTCTGTGCTGTAGTTGGGCTGGCTCAACTGTAGCACTCTAGTTGGGATGGTCCCAGTATAGTTGGGCCTGATGTTATACATGTAGTTGGGGCGTAACACCACTACTGTACTGCACCAAGTTTGATCGGTCGTGTTGGTACATGTAATTTCCTTCCCTCCTGCATAATGTAAACAGGACTAGGCCTAACCATCTCAAAATATGCTGTAAGTACCCTGAGTCGTCTGTACTCAATACAGTCATGACAGTTGCTCAAGTTTTGGGGATTGTACACATGTATATTTGGGGACCCTGTTCATATAAAAGAAGGCAGACCTACGTTTTAACTTTTGGATTCACCTTGGTAGATGTTGAGATAATCAATAGCACATAGGGCTGAGTCAATTTGAATTGTTCACTATTCGAATATTCGACCCTCAATTTGATCGAATATCCAAATAATTGGCCGCACAGACAGGCAGATTGTTTGATGAACAAACCATATTCAACATCAGTTGCAATAACACACACAATTGTACATTATGATCAATATAATAGCTTCTCACATCTAGGAGTGTCTCCAGCCTCGATTTAGCAAGATTTAAGAGATGAACAAGACTTCTTGCCCTGTTGAAAATTTCTCCTTTTAAATTGTTTAATGAATAATTTACTTTTGAAATCGAAAGATATCTGACCCTTTTTTTGAATCTGCTTGAAACAAGCCTCCATCGTGCAATTTTTCTCCTTTAAAACAAAAGAAAATTTCCCTTCCTTCTCATGAATTTTGTATTCAAATATTCAAATTCGAAAAATAATATTCAAATATTTGACAATCGATTGAATATTCAGTTATTCAGATATTTGGCACAGCCTTAATAGCACATGACACATTGTGGATTCAAATTTGCATGGCAGGTTTACAGTTTGAAATTTCCAAAATTATATGTAGGGCCTAGGCTCGCCAGGGTGTTTTAGCTTAGGGGGCTTTGACGCTAAAAATCCTTCCTTGACAGTAAAAATGTGGCCTGGAAGATAACTCTTTTTTGCAGCTAATTTCTCATGAAACTTGAGTGTGGCAAGAAATTACAACCCTCAGCCACGTGAGATTACAAAAAGACTCAGAAATATTGGCAAAGTGCACCAAACAACTTGCCAGGAACAAAAGTTGCACCCACCATGACGGTGCATGTATTTGGCATACATTGTACACTACCCCACAAAATATCAGTTGGCTGCTGAAATTCCAGATAAAGTTCACAGTATTTCATTTCCTTCTTCCTGTATGTATTTTCTTTTCTAATGCGGGAATTTGATTTTTTTAAAATACTTTTCAGTGGTTTACTAAAGATGATTTTTTTTATACTTTTCAGTGGTTTGCTAAAGGTGAAGTTTTTTGACAAACACATAATGTTAACCCCCAAAATGTACATGTACATGGCTTGAGTTCATCCAAATGAAGGTTGAGTGTACTGTCGTATATTCACTAATAAACATGAAAAAAAATGTGTCTTGTTTTGCAGCAAAAGAAAAATAAAACAAAAAATTGCAAATAGTTTTTGATTTCTTGTTGATAAATATAATGATTGCCAAGGGCATACACTGGTAGGTAGCTCTGTGAACACAATAACTTTTAACATGTGTTACATAAGTGTCTGAACAGCACCCCCAGGTGTCAAGTCATGGCCAGTCCCCACTTGTCATTGGTAATTTGTAGTGGGTACACAGACTAAAATGTTGTTGCTGGAAATGCTGAGAGCTTGATGAAAAAAATATAGCAATGCACTCCAAGTGAGAAATCAAAATGTGCCATGTTACCAGCCCCACTGGTGTAGCATTATATTAGGGTTCATTACCTGCATGATATACATGTGTATGTGTTGACTCATTCTACAGTCTGATTTAGGAAAAATGTAGTGCCTGCATATGGAACTCTTTTCAGTAGAAACTGACTGCATGCAGTAAATATCAATTGGTCCTAAGTGAGTCAAAATTCCAAATTACATGTACAATGATTTCACTGGGAAACATCATTGGACTGTGGACTTAGTCTTATTCATATTCAACATGTACTTACCAGAGTATGATGGTCTTCACTGGTGCAAGATCAAAGTTTATTACTAAAGTGTATTTTATCACAAGTCTTACCTGTGTTTTTCAAAGTACCAGTATTATACATGTAAATGGTGACTTCATTGCACGAGATGTTGTTTTGACAGCTGCTCATCAGGGCGTGGTGGAGGTCATCTCTTGTATTCATGGAACCCAATTGTTGAACTGGTTTGGGTTTGACACATACTGTACGTGTACATTAAGAAAACATGCTTTAGGTTTCACTGTACATGTAGCTGTGTTTGAGTAGTGATTTGTTGTTGGTCATTTTTCTCTTGTCAATGATGTCACGATCTTGGAAGATTAATCAAATGAATTTTAGGGGTAATTTTAAGATCTTAATTCTGATATTGAGATCCATGACAATAAAAAAGTTCATCTGTATTTTTTCTCCCCAGATGTTTTTGACATCTGTTCAGGAGGTGACGTCTACAATGACCTCTTGGAACATCGTCAGAAAGTACAGATGCTCAGTGAGGACACAGCCATTAACCTCAAGAAGAATGTCTATAGAAATTACACGCAATTCATTGATACCTCCAAAGAAATATCTTGTATCCTTTCATAATAAATTCTGTTATTTAGGGGTTGTCCTATGTCAGTTCACTTTAACTTTGAATTCTGATTACTATCAAGATCCTCATTTTGATTGTTATGATAAAATTATCAACTTCACTTCTCATTCACCATGTCACCACAATCATTGGTGTTACCATAGTGATAAGTGTTATTATTACCTAAAACGGGTCACTTGGGAGACATTCCCATAGGAACGTGCATAGGAACATCCCATAATTCAATATTCCTTAATCGGATCTTAACCAAACTTTGCATGTTTTCCTTTCAGACCCTAATCTATCATCTCCCAAAATGTGGACACTAAAAATTGTCCTCCTTTTGGTAGTTGGAACATTAGGGATATATTGAAATGTCTCCCTAATGACTGATGTCTCCCTAATGTTGAAAAAATTACCACAAAATGTCTCCCAAGTGACCTATTTGGAAATATTACTCTACTTTTATTCTTATTTTTTTCATCGTCTTTTCAACCAAACAAGCAGCACTACATTATTATTATATCATGTACTTTGTTACCACCCTCCTGACCATAATTAAGACCACCACCCTCGTTACTAGGTTCTATTCCTGTCTTCCTGTAATCTTCCTGAATTCATCAGTCTATCAGATCTTGAAGGGGAGATGTATCAATTGAGTCATGTTCTGACAGAACAAAAAGCCATCATGAGTCAGATGTTGGAAATGTCCATTGGAAATAAAGGTAATAACTTTTTGATTTTCTCATTAACTGTTATAAATTTTTGAGGTTCTGGCAAATTGTTTCATTTTTGTATGTTAACAAATCGTAAGTAATATATTTAACTAAGGCACATTTATTAATCTAGGAGTTATAATGTAATTTCTTCCAATATTTTTCATTTAAAATTTTTTTCTGCTTCCAGAGGCATCGGCAAGGAACAAAGATATGCCTCAAAGTAAAGATGACCAGAAGAGAACCATAGCTTCACTCCTTGACAGAGTGGAAGGATGCTCAGTGAGTAGTGATTAGGATCAATTTCTTGATCATGATCTCAAAGAATGTTAAAGTACTTGGAATGCTTCAAAGCTCCCAAGGGCTGATTTGAGCTGCCATATTTTCCACTGTGATTCTTTGCAGCGGATTACGGAAGTCCCAGGTAGATACATTGTCCACGATGGTGACTTGGTTGAGTTAGACACGGACACGTTCTCTGAGGTTCAGCGTGTACATGCTTACCTGCTGAATGATAGTCTGGTCATTACAACATTTGTACCAAACAGGTGAGATCAGTACGAAGCAACCAACTTGTTTTATGATTAAATCTGATCACCATGGTATTATCTTTTCAAACATCCTGTCTTAGGTTCATTTCAACTCGGAACGTAACCCAGGAAGACATTTGTTGTATTGAAATAAACTTTAATGTCTGCAAAACTAAACTATAGACTAGCTTCTACAGTCAGATTTTGGTGGATTTAGGAAGCTTGGTTTCAATGGGATTTTGTATTGATGTCTCACACAGTTACTACATAATGCTGTAAGATTGCTCTCTGTCATATTTCCTCCTGTTATAGACGAGGTCCAGTAAGATACAAATATCAAGTTTTGTATGAATTGGACAGCCTGGCCGTTGTAAATGTCAGAGATGTTGGCCGTAAGTAGTCAGTTATCCTGTGACTTTGTTGAAATTATAATTTTAAATTAGATTATGCTGGTACATCAAACTCTGTAATTTCACATTGTCTATCATTGTATCTGTTGCAAGCAAGGGTCCACACTTTCGTGAATGACTTGGAACATTAGTAAAGGCATCAGTTATAACATGTGTCATTCTCTTAACACAGATTAATTTGGATTTCATATGCAAATTTCAAATATGTGAAAATTCTTGATGTGTTGTGTATGCCTGTTTGGTTTGTTTGTAGCTGTGAAAAATGCCTTTAAGATTCTCATGTTTCCTGATCAAAGAATCTACAGGGCTGATAACTCAAGAACAAAGGTACATATTAAAAATCATTACAACTTGTGACCTTATGTAAAAGTAATTGTCAGTAGATGTACCAGATGTAACTAATCAATCGATGTACCTAAGGAGAAAGACACGCTAATATTAGATGGGACTGTGACAAGTATATAGCACTAGTATCACTGTGTGGACCCATGTAGAAAGACATGCCAGTAAGAGATGGGTGTGTGACTAGACAGAGCACCAGCACT